GAAAAAGCACCCTGGTAAAGGCATTTTTTTTCTCAAATCATGACAATTTGAAGCTAGAATCCTATATAGATGCAGACTGGGTAGGATGCTTAGATGACAGGAGGTCTACATCAGGAGTGTGTACCTTTGTAGGTGGAAACTTGATTTCCTGGAGTGTGTACCTTTATGGGCAATCAGGCTGCAATCAATATTGCCCATAATCCAATTCAGCATGACAGGACAAAACACATTGAAGTTGATAGACACTTTATAAGAGAAAGGGTAACAACCGGAGAGGTCTGTTTGTCTTATGTCTCTTCAGAGTTGTAGCTGGTTGATGTTCTCACTAAAGGGGTGGCAAAGAACAAGCTTGAACATGATCTACGCAAGTTGAGAATGTGTGATATTTACTCCCAACTTGAGTGGGAGTGTTGAAGATTAATCAGTTTTATGGTGTTTTTTTGAGTAGATGTTTTATGTTAGTTGTTAGATAGGAGGTGGGGACCACAGTAGTTATGTGAGTCCAAATTTTATTATGTTTTTGAGTCTTATATATGCTGTTTTATGTTTTTCCGCCCTATAAGGGCATAGTTGTCTTTGTACTGCTCTATTTGTTTTTAGTATAAATAATAAGTGAAGGGGGTGGCCAGATTATTGCTCTCTTTTCTTTTCAAGATCTCTTCTTCTCTTCTTCTCCTTCTCTCTCTTCCTTCTCTCTTCAAGAAACTACCTTTTCTTTTCATATTTTTGAATTCAGCAGATTTCTACTGATACCATGAATAACCTTCCATGGAGAGTTCAGAGTAGACTGTCGAGACACTCCAGCATCCCAACCATTTACTGCACGTCCGTGAATACTTCCTACAACCTTATGCCAAAGCCTCTCTCTCTCTCTCTCTCTCTCTCTCTTTCTTTAAAGGCCATCTCCATAGCCATTTACCCAACAAAGCAACATTCTTTTTCCCTATATTGCCTACCCCCAAATCCCCTTGCTCCTTACTTTTGCAAACTAGATTCCATCTCACTAGGTGATCTTTTCTTCCTTCACCAATCTCCCATATGAACTCTGTCATGATCTTCTCTACTTTCAGCACCTCCCTTTGTGGCATCTTAAAGATTGAGAGGAAGAAAACTGGAAGGTTTGTTAAAGTAGACTTAATCAAAGTAATACGACCCCCTAGAGACACATAATTCCTCTTCCAAATTGATAATTTCTTGGCACATCTTTCAAGAATTGCGCTTCAAAAGCTTCCTTCCCGTGGGTTGGCTCCTAAAGGCAAACCTAGATATTTCAATGATCAACTAGTGGTAGGACAACCTTAAGCTTCTACAACCCCAACCATCTCCTCCCCTAGGCTCAACCCCACTACACAACTCTTATCAAAATTGATATTCAATTTAGAGACAAATTCAAACAATTTTATCACCTGCTTCAAATTGCTTGCCTTCTCAGGATCAATACTCTCACAAAAAATAGTTGTATCATTAGCAAATTGCAAATGTGTAACAACCGTGCTCTCTCCCCCAACCCTCCAACCTGTAAAGAGTCCCAAGCTATCAGCTCTTGGGATAAGAATACTAAACACCTTAGATACCAAGGTAAATAAGAAAGGAGAAAGGGGGTCCCCTTGCCTCAACTTTCTGGTTGTTGGAAAGAAATCTCTGACCACTCCATTAGCTAAGGCTGAGTAATGCCATGTTTTCAAGCAACCTTCAATCCATCCACACGATCTCTCTCCAAACCCAAAGTTTCTCAAAGTGTCCAAGAGGAAAGACCACTCAACCATATCATTAGCTTTCTCTAAGTCCAATTTACACACAAAACCTTTCTTTGTGATCTGTCTACCTTGAATGAATTCCTCTGGGGGGTGGTTTATCAAGACAGGAAGGGCTAGCTTTAATCTTAAAGACAACACTTTGGCCATTATTTTATAAATGCTAGTTACCAAGCTAATTGGTCTGAAGTCTCTCGGTTGAGTGGCATCTCCCTTCTTTGGGATCAAGGCTAAGAAAGTGGAATTAATCCATGGACTAATAAAGTGTTACTTAGCAAACTCCTAAAAAATTTCCAATGGTCCACTTTAATTATCTTCCAACAATCCTAATAAAAAGCCATAGTGAATCCATCCGGTCCAAGAACTTTTGATCTATCCATTGAAAACACAGTCCCCCTTATCTCCTCCAAATCAAAATCCCTTTCCATCACTCTTGCCATATCCAGACTTAGCCTAGGCCATTCTTTCCCTTCCAAAGTAGATCCCACATCCTCTTGTCTTTTAAAAACTTATTTGAAGTGAGCTACAAGACGATTAGCAATTTCTTCTTGATCAACCAATGTTTCTCCATTCACTTCTAATTTCTTCACAAAGTTTTTTCTTCTTCTACCATTAGCAAGTGCATGGAAAAACTTAGTATTCCCATCCCCCTCTTTGATCCATTAGTGCCTCAATTTCTGCCTCCAATTCTTTTTTTCAAAGGCCATCTCAAAATCCTATCTTTCTCACTTATCAAACCATGACTGTCCTTGACATCCAAGTGCTCAATTTGAGAATTTACGAGTAATTTCCTCTCCTCAATTCTTCCAAAATGATCTCTATTCCACCTTTTGATTTCACACTTAAGCCTTTGTAATTCCTATGAATTTTACACCTTTCCACCATACTCCTCACACTTCTGCTCTTCACCATTCCTCTACCTTATGGATAAAGTCAGGGTGTGTAATCCACATATTTTCAAACCTGAAGGGTTTGGGGTCACTCAGAAAGTCTTTAGTTCCAATACGAATTGGGCAATGGTCAGAAGTAACTCGTGGTAAAGCTCTTTCCACCAATCCAGCCCAATGTTCTTCCCATCCTAGATTGAAAATAAATCTTTCCAACTTTGAGCAGGTGGGGGGGGGGAGGGGTAAGTTGAACCAAGTGAACAATTTTTTCTACGTAGGAATCTCCTTTAGGTTGCACTCTATGAATTCATTGAACTTCCTCATGCTAGTATAGACTACTTGATTGGGGTTATTCATCTCATTAGTAAACCTGGCCACATTAAAGTCTCCATCTAAGCATCAAGGTTCATTCCACAAATCCCTAATGTCAAAAAGATCTTCCCACATTCCACCCCTTTCTCTATATCTATTGGGTCTGTAGATGTTCATCAACACCCAAGTAAAACCATCACCCAAATTCTTGAATTTTAGGAAGAGAGAGAGAGAGAGAGAGAGAGAGAGAGAACTGACCTATTAATTCTTCCAAGGGCTCCACCACCTCAGTCTTCCAAAACGTAACTAGGCCCCCAGAAGCACCCTATATTAGACCAGCCTATACCTCTGGAGCCCCACATGCTTCTCACTAATCTTCTATCCATTTCTGCGACTTTTGTTTCTTGTAGCAACACTATATCGGGATTCTCCTTCCTAAGAAGATCCTTTGTTACTTACTTCTTCCTAGCACTTCCCAACCCTCTATCATTCCAACTAATTATCTTCATGCGAACTTATATCAAGACGGCCCCTTACCCCTTTTCCCTCTACTTCTGACCTTTCCTTCTTTTCCCCCTTGCACTAACTTTAGATCCTCTACTACATCAGATTTCAATCTTTCTACCTTGGTCAACTTTTTCTTCCTTTGAGCTTCCTTCTCCCCTTTCTTTTTGGGATGAACTTCAACATCCTTCAACTCCTTCACCTTTAGACCCAACTCCCCTACTAACTCAACCAAAGGTTCCCCTCCCTTCTTGTTTATTCGATTGCTCTACCACTGTTTCTATTAGGAATTGCATCCTTGTCACTTCATCAATCAATCTGCTGATAATGGTCTAGTTCCTCCTAGACTGCAGTGAGATCAGAGAGAGAAATACACAAACAAACTCCTGTCACATTGTTTACACATAGAAGGTTCAGCCAACAACTGATAGACCTGAGCATGGTTCCTTTGTTCAAAATATGTTTCCTTGGCCTTATCATAGATCTCCTTAGCCATGTTTGCTGACATAAAAGTTTTGCTCAAAGAAGGTTGAATTGTGGACAAAAGCCAGGACATAATCAAATAATTTTCCTGGACGACTCTGGATAGTTCCATTGAGAAGAGTAATAGAGATTGGGAAGTTGGTGCTGGTGCTTGAAACTACTGATCTTCTGTAACCATTATAACAGTTAACCAAAAAATAAATCCTTTTTTTTTTTTGCTGAAAGAACAACAGAAGGCCTACACACTTCAGCTAAACAACCCTACCACCTTGCTGACCTGAAACCTCAGTCAAAACTGAAGCAACTACTTTCTATACAACAGGCTTGACAAATCATCCAACCACAAAACCAACCCAGGCAGACAGTTACTGCAACTAGTTGGTGGTCTTCCTTGAGGATTGAGAGAACATGACAGCAACTCAAAAACAGCATTCACAATTCATTTTCACCCACAAACATTTCATACAGATCACCAAAAGCACTTGGGAAACACTCAGGAAGAAACTCAGACCATACAATCCAGAACAGCACTTGGGACTTACCCAATTCTTATTCCTTCATTACTGACAATTTTTCACCAAAACATAAGTCTCACAAGGTATCAGACCAGTTCGGTCCTCTTTTTTCTTTTCTGTTACAGGTGAAAAAAAATTAATGTTGAGGAAGAAGAAGCCAGAAGAAGTCTAATCGATCACTCCTGCTCTGTTACCATGTAAAACATAGATCAGACCTGTAACAGAGAGAAAAAAAGAGAGAGAAGAACAGGAAGAAGTTAAAATGATAGAAGAATCGAAAATTATGTGGGCCTAGCGGCACCCGCTTCTTTTATTATAAAATAGGGTGACACAAAACAGGAGGCAAAGACACAAATATCCCTGTTTCTACATGCACTAACATTTTAACATTTCCTTTTAGTGGTTTATTTTTAATTTACTATAAAAGTATAATTTCAATACTTGGTAATCTAATTTATTATTCTATTTGATTAGTTAAGATGGATTTATCAGTTGCATTTGTTCTTAAAATTTTCCAAGTTTGGCATATTTACCCTGTTGTGCAGGACATGATTTGTGCTATTGCTGAACTTGAAAGTGACAGACAACCCCTTGAAAAGCGGTATAACCGAAAAACTAAGGAAACTACAATGGGAGTCGTGCAGTTAGTACCAAAAACTGCAGAGTGGCTGTTCAGGTATTGTAAAAATATCTAGTCCTAACTGGAGAGTGAACAACCTCTTAAAGAAATGTTGCAATTTTATGTTTTATTGGTATCGTGAAATCAACCATGGAACTTTCTTGCAGTGAAATGGGTTATCGAACATATGAAATAGAAGGTGACCCAACACTTCTTTACAGGCCTTTCATAAATGTATATTTTGGAGCTGCCTATCTCAAGTGGTTGTCAAGTTATGATCAAAAGTATGCTCAGGATTCATGATAATTTTTTTGGTCAAGAAAGCATATTCCTTGCTAGCTCTTTAATTGGATTTTGTTTACAAATAATTTCCTTTTAACTGGTATTATCTCATTTCTTCATTTACCGTTTTCTGGTTCTTATATATTAATACTGGAGATGATGTCTGCAGGGAGAGAAATGAGGAATTTGTAGTTAGGGCTTATAAAGGTGGCATAAAAAAGGCAACTCATAAATCAACATTGGATTACTGGAGACGGTACCTCTCAGTCAAACAGAGTCTTCCATACAGGAGGTTTTTCCTTTCCCTTAAATTTAATGAGGAAATTAGACCAAGTCCAGATTTTATAAATATTCCTTGAACATATAAATTTTGTTCTAACCAAAAGTAAAAAAGAGATTATGTTCAAATCGCTGATGTATGTTCCATGCCTCTTGGGTTTGGTGTTGCTATTGGATGATGAATGCAGTTTTGTTTTTTAGGAAGTTTCTTAATTTTGTTCCCTTCTTAGCACTGTTTTAGTTTCAATAAAAGTGGGGGAAATAAAACAAATAAGAAAATCTAACTTTCCATAGTTTGGTTGTATAAAGAAAATAACAAAGAAAAGGAAATGGGGTCCGAGATTTTCTATCTTATCATGTTTTATCTTCTCATCTAAAGGGTAGAGAAAATGGATGAATAAACACAACGAAAATTAGAAATAACAGCTATCAGGTCACCCTCTTTTTGGTCTCCTCCTCAAGCTGTCTGTCTACACTCATTGTTCAAGGCTGTCAAACTCCACAATGATTGCAAACCAACCCATAAGTCCCCTGTTCTTCTATTAGATAGATGCACAAACCTTGTTCTCTCTTGTGTTCATATTTGCCCATTTATCTCCATTGTTCAGTGTACATTTTGTGCTTCCATGATATGTTAGTATCATTTTCCTTTCTTTGGAATGCAACATAATGTGGCTTAACAGTCTCTATGTTTTCTGCATTCACAAGAACTGACTTATCACTTTATTATAAGTATGGCCACTTTATGCAAAAAAGAGAGAAATGCTAGTGGTTAGGCGTGTATCTAGTCAACCCCTCCCAAAACCTCTGATTCTAGGACCATTATTTGTTTTTGATAAGTAACTCTATTTTTATTAGAAAATGAATATATACAACAATACAAGCATCCCAAGGAAAGGTATGAGATTCACTTTATATAAGATGTACATTTACTAATCTGCCCCCACTTAAATATCATAAAGAAAAGTAATGACAGATATGTCCTACTTTCAATATATAACTTCTTACACTCCCTTTCATTCTGGAGCATAAATATCATATAGATCTAGCTTGTTACAAATATAATTCATACATGGTTCAGTCCTTTGGTGAAGAGATTGGCTAGTTTATCCTCTGATGAAACACGATATTAGAGGAGATGTGAATTGCAGCTTGGTTATCAGAAAACAACTTCATAGTCTTAGAGATACCTACTCCAATTTATTATACAAGATTCTTCAACCAAACTAACTCATATGTGGTATAATCCACTGTCCTGTACAAGATTCCCTCCAAGAAATGTGCAGTAGCCTGTTGTAGACTTCCTATCTGTTATGTATACTTCCCAATTTGCATTCGAGTGTCCTTCCAAGGACAACTCTCCTCCTTTCTTGTACAACTACCTTTGAACTAGCACTCCTTTCAAGTAACACAAAACTCTAATAACACCTTCCCAATGACTGATCCTTGGATTCTACATAACACCCCCATACTAAGTGATATGTCTAATTTGGTAATAGTGAGGTAAGTTTACCCACTAGTCTCCTGTATCTTCCTGGATCATCCAACAGCTCCTCCTCACTATCAGTTATCTTGGTGTTTGGGTCAATAGGAGTTTCAATTGGTTTAATGCTCAGTAACCCCATGTCCTCCAACAAATTAAGCACATACTTTTTCTGTGAAAGAAAGATCCCCGACTTTGATCTTGCCACCTTAATTTCTGTAGAGAAGATGGGCCGAATGGCCCATAGACTATTTAGCTCTTTTATTTTTTATGTTCTTTGCTGTAATGGGCCTTAATCTGGGCCTACTCTTTCTTATGTTATGTTTTTTAATTTTCTGTCCAACTAAGGGCCTCTCTGTAAATTATCAAAGTTTAACTTAATAAGATTAGATTAAGGGTGTAAGAGAAGTGATTATGTTTGAAAACTCTCTTTCTCTGAACCCTAGTTGCCGCCACCTTCTTCTTCATCTTCTCTCTTCTAGAATTCTGATTTCTGCTATTCTCACTTACCTTTTTGCATCTTTCTAAACAGTCCTTTCTTCTCAAAAGGCTGTTTTTCTTCTTGGTATCAGAGCAGGCTCGTTTTTCTTTCTTTTTCACCTTTTTTTTTCCCATACACAGTGTGTATGGAGAACTGAATCGCATGAACAGTTAAAGACTCTTTTTCAGCCCAGTTATTAGTGGTTTCTGGAGAGAAGGGGACAGACTTTATCACCCCATTGACAGATTCAGGGGTGCTGCCCGAAACCCTAATTTTCTGGAGAAATCAGATTGCGGGACCCACAGGGAGTTTGACTTGGGCGCTCAGTGATTGAAGGCTTCCTTCTTCTTCCTCTTGAAGATCAAATCAAGTGGATTGGTGTTCTGTGGAGTCTACAAGGAGCGGCTGATATTTTTCTGTTTCTCCCGGGTCCGGTTGTGACAGATTTCTGGTACGGCTGCATAGAGGTTGGCTCACAACATAGGTTTTATCCAGCCTTCATTTGGTGTTTTTTGAAGTTACTTGAAACCTTTTTAGAGGTGTTTAAGATGATGAATCCATCAGACATTGAAAGCAAACATGTTGCTGAATCCGGACAGATTCCGGGAGCCTCTGTAGACTCTCTACTAACTGTGACCACAGTCAAGCTGGATGGAACTAGTTATCTGGCTTGGTCACAATCCGTAAAGATTCATATTTGCAGCAGAGGCAAGTGGGGTTTTATCTCTGGGAGCAAAAAGGCTCATTCTGAAGATGATCCATCATATGAAAAATGGGTGCAAGAAAACTATACTGTTATTGGGTGGCTTGTGAATTCAATGCAACCACAAATTAGTCAACACTATTTGTGGATGAATTCAGCAAAGGAAATTTGGGATAGTGTTGCTGAAAACTATTCCCAAAAATTAAATGTAGCTAGAGCTTACAAGTTGAGAAGTGATGTGAAGAATTTAAAATAGGGGGAGAAACCATTAGCTGTATACTTCTCAACACTGAAGTCTTTGTGGCAAGAAATAGATCTGATAGAAGCTGTACAATGGGACACCACTAATGATGCTGAGACCTACAGAAAACTGGTTGAGAGAAACAGGGTATTTGTTATGGGCACACCATCCGGCAGCGCACTGCGGTGCAGTCATAGGCAGCAACACGCACGGCAGGCCGCACAGCAGCAGGCACCGCTTGGCAAAGCCGCTCAGCAGCACGCACCGATAGTGCGCGCATTGCCTGGCAAAGCCGCTCAGCAGCACGCACCGATAGCGCGCACCGCACGGCGGCACGCACCGCACACCCACCCGGCACCGCACGGCAGCGGCACCATGGAGCGCAACACGCACTGCCAGGCAGCAGCGCGCACCGCACGCACCGCGCACACGCACGACACCGCACGGCAGCGGCACCATGAGCCGCGCGCACGCAATGCGCGGCAGCAGCACTGCGCGCACGCACCGTGCGGCAGCAGCACTGCGCGCACACACCTTCTTCTTCATCTTCTCTCTTCTAGAATTCTGATTTCTGCTATTCTCTCTTACCTTTTTGCATCTTTCTAAACAGTCCTTTCTTCTCAAAAGGCTGTTTTTCTTCTATTTCCAAGAAAAATATAAAGTACCCTAAGTCCTTGGTTTGGAACCGCTGCTAACTGTTTCAACTCACCAATTTGTTGTGTATCACTGCCGGTAATTATAATGTCATCAACATACATTGCTAAAATAAATTTGCCTAACAGTGCATCTCTACTAAAAACAGAGTGGTATACACTGCACTAATGTAACCTAAACTCTTGTACCACTCCACTAAACTGTCTAGACCAACCTCGTAGTGATTGTTACAACCCATAAATTGTCTTCCATACTCCATAGTCTATAGACCTTTCCTGTCTCCCCTTGAGAAACATACCTAGGAGGTTGCTTCATGTACAACTCTTCATGAAGATCACCATGAAGGCAATTTTAACATCAAACTGAAACAACCACCAATGAAAATGAGCAACTAAGGAAATTACCTGAATTGATCCATCTTGGAAACTGGAGAGGATGTCTTAGTGTAGTCAATACCATAAGTTTGAGTGTACCCTTTTGTAAGTAGTTATGCCTCATACCACTCAACACTACCATCTAGGTAATATTTTACACTTTTACTTTGTACACCCTTATACAACCATGCTTCTTAGGAGGTAAGGAGGCGAGATCCCAAGTATGGTTAGATTCAAAAGCTTAAAATTCCTCATTTATGCTTTCTTCTAATAAAGTGACACAAGAGCTTCTTGAATATCATGAGGTATAGAAAGAAAAGAAAGAAGGGACACAAATCTTCGATAGGAAGGAGATGGGTGAGCAAAAGAAACATAATAGGAAATCATGTGGTTAGTACAAGCATGCTTATCTTTCCAGAGAGCAATGGGAATGTCTAAGTCAAGTGGATCAACTGAAGGTAAGGGTGATGGTGGCACAATTGAGGTTGGAGTTGGAGCAACTGATTCATGTGGTTGATTGAAGTACACTATGAATTGGTGGCTGCATAGTTTCCTCAACAATGGTATGGGGAACCTGTAGAGACTCCTCTGCAATAGGAAGAGGTAGAGGAATAGGAGAAGACAAGAATAATCTATTACAAAGAAAAAAAGGGAACATTATCAAAGAAAGAAGCATCTAGGAGAATAACTGACTTGTAAAGTGTAGGGATTTAACATTTATAACCTTTTTAAGTACGAGAATAACCAAGGAACACACACTTGATGGCCCATGAGTCAAGATTATTGAACTCGGGACCAAACTTGTGGACAAAACAAACATAAGCAAAGACCTAGGGAAGGAGAGAAAATAAAGGTGTTGAAGGAAACAAAAGGAAAATGGAGATTTACAATCAAGAAGAGATGATGGCATATGCTTTATGAGGAAAAAAGAAATAAGAATTGCACCACTCTAACAAACTTTAAGAAATGATGCCTGTGTCAAGAGATCTCGAGATGTATCAAGTAAGTGTATATTCTTCCATTCGACCACACCATTTTTTTATGATGTGTACAAACAAGAAGATTGGTGAATAATAC